AATAAATTGCTACTAACATGGACACCTTGCTCATCTTACCTATCCAGTCATATTTAAATTAATCAGACTCTGAATTTCTATTTTTGTGTGACTGAACCACAGTTTAGGGATTTACCAGTTAATAAATGTTGACATTTAACCTTTTTCTAAATGGCACCTTTTGCTGGAAGTCGGTTCCACCTATGGCTTTTAGCATGGTACCATAGTGGAAAACAGCTTATGTATTTTCCACTAATAAAAATCAGTTGCAGAGTAATCTATTATAGTAACATTAATAAATTATGCAATGGCACCATTTTCCATAAGGACGATTTTATTTCACCTGTTTTCCACCTCAAAATGTGCGAATTTGACCATGATCACTATAATCACTACATTAACCCTCTAATATGAATAATAAACAATTGGATTTCTATATTAAATTTAAAATTACTGATGATTTTTAGCATGGTACCTCAGGTGGATTCCTCGTCAGCTCATACAAAGAATTAAAATTAGTTTCACATTTAATTATCATGGTTACTTATTACCGTTTTACTCTGCATACAAGCAAATGGTTTTTTATTTGAATATAAATTAAACGATTGTATGAATTAGTTTTGCGGCAAAATTAGTTACAGTAATAACAAACTCTGGTTGATTGCGGTGCTGTGTTACGATCGCTCGTATATAGTCATTGACTATACAGATGCCGTGCATTTGGACCAATTCAAAAGCTCAGGTAGTCTTACTGGCGGTTTGGCCGTTCAGTTTATACAAGGATTGAGCGCAGGTATGTGTTCATCACTCCCTCACTAATTAATGCATTAATAATTACCATATGTTTTGCACCGATAGGTCTGTTTCATATGCACAACAACGGCATAATCAAAGGTGACATCAATGATGAGGGCGTACTTATATGCACGGGTGAGGGGCCCGACGGGTATGCGGACAAGTGGGCCGACTTTGGCGCGAGTATACACCGGCAACTGTTTAGCCAATGGGGTATCGCTATCGGGGATAAAGACTTTGCGCAATACCTACGCCAGGATCGTCAGGAGGCGTCCGGACTGTTTGACTCAATGCTGGCCACCAGTGGTGCCGACGCAGAGGGTATGTCCGGTGCGGTGCAAGAGATGCGCGCATGTGTGGCCAAAATACGTGTCTCTGATCAGCCCCTGAATGTGTTGATCCGTAAGTATCGGTTCAATCGGTGATACCTGTCATAAATTTTATACGACACACATTTTAAATAAATTGTTAATCTTAAATTTTTTTGTTGGATTTAATGATTTGATTTTCATATTTTATCATAATGTTATAATTAATAGCAAATACAAACATATCAAACAATAATCATTATTCAGTTTTCACTATAAAAATTAATGTAATTAAATGTTATCATGATTGCGCTTAAAATGTACCCTCATAGCACTTGACGTAACAAACCGTTGATTACAGTTATTATAAATACATTTATGGTTTTTTATTTTATTATGTCTCTTCATGTGAACACTAAGATGCGGTTTTTGTGCAAATTTTTTGTTACAATCATTGAAATGACAAACAAATGGTTTTTCTCCCGAATGAATGCGTTTGTGTCGAATTAATGTCTGATTAGATGCAAAATATTTGCCACAATTTTCTTCATTACATTTAAATCTATCTTTACTTAAATGAACATAAATTTTGTGTTTATATAAATTCTCGTTTGATTTAAATTTTTTCTGGCATTCATTGAAATCACATGCAAATGTCAAATTTAAATGAACTCGTTCTTTGTGTGTTTTTAAATGTCCACTTTGTTTATAACTTTTATTACAATTATTAAAATCACATTTAAATTGTTTTATTTTTGAATGACTCAATTGGTGTAGAGTCAAACGTTGTTTAGTTAATATTTTGAATTGACATTTAGGCCAAAAACAGTGAAAATATTCATCAGATTTAGTAATGATATGACAATTGTTTAGCATTTTATCAATGATTTTACATGAATTGCAATCAATTGTTTGGTTGATTGAAAAATAATCATTATTTTCGCATTCAATCGCTTCACACAAAACACTATTATTTGTATTCAAAATACACTGAATTTTGTCTATTATTTCACACAAACTCTTCATTGCATTTAATTTACTCTTAATTTCAATCAACAAAACACTTATTAATTTTGAACACATTTTAAAACAAATTCAATAAAAATTATAATTAGGTTTAGTTTTAAACAACTGAAACTCAGTGCAAAAGTAAATGTAAATTCAATGTCTTTTATCCCAAAATGGATGAAAAATGGATATCCTTTACAACACGTGTTCTCATTGATAGTGAAAACCGGTTCACTAAACATTGTTACCATGTTTTCAGGTGGTAATGCCAATAGATTGAGATTAAATGTTGAGGAAAACCTATTATAACAGTATTATTAGATTATTATCATAATATTTTCAAAATCAATTATAATTATTCAAATTTTAATAAATTTTTCATCCAAATAAACACAAATTTTGTGTTAAAATAAAAACTGATGACATTCATTTTGGTGACATTTTGTGCCGATTTATATTAGATATTACCTTATTATTTACACGTTATAATGAATTGTAGATAACGATTGAACATTACATAACTTTTAAACAAGGGTAAAAACTTACTAAAATACCCCAATAGTATACTTATTAAGTAAAGTATATCTACCAACTGTACCGGTTGTGTCAATTTGTTCATTTAATCATCCGAATAATTAGGACAATTTCCATGAATATAATTTATTGGGAATATTGATCTCTTCACCAAAAAAACAAAACAAATCTCTCAACTCGTAAAACATGGTATAATTCAAACCCCTGGAAACGTATACCTCTCGAGTGTGTCGGCCAACGGTTCCTTTGTCTCCTCCAACTCAGCCATCAGTGCCAGCATCTGATCCCTGAGCGCCGGCTCCAGACTCTGGTCCTCATCGCCGCACTCTTCCAGCAAATCCTTACACATATAGGCGAATGTAATCGTATCCAAAAGCATCATTTGGTGCATGTGGTCGGCCGGGATCACTACACCCCACCCGCGGTACACATCGCGCGACACAGCGTTCCCGAAGTCTGTCCATTTGGCGGTGTACTGACCCGCGACGGCACTGCTAAACACTAACACGTTGTCCTCTTTGATGTCCCGGTGGGCGACACCCATGGCGTGTATATATCTCAGGCCTATGTTTGTAAAAAAATTGATTACTATATTTGCATTTGAGAGAGAGAGA